ACGCGTCACCATGCCCAGCTAATTTTTTGTATTTTTAGTAGAGACGGGGTTTCACCATGTTGACCAGGATGGTCTCGATCTCTTGACCTCGCGATCCACCCGCCTCGGCCTCCCAAAGTGCTGGGATTACAGGCGTGAGCCACCGCGCCCGGCCCTGTTCATGTTTTTTATTCCCTACCCATAACCTGGAAAATTCTGACCCAACCTCACCCCCACCCCCTCCACCACCAGCTGATTTTCTTCTCTATACTTATTGCACTGAATTAATTTGTAACAAGAATTTGTAACCCCAATGTGTATGCTTGGGGGAAAAAAGCCTAATCTCTTTTGAGGGGCTGGGGAAAAGCATAGGTCATAAACTTGATTTATGGCTCCCGCAGAAAGTAGCAGTGCCGTTGCTCCTGCTTTTAGCACCGCTCCTTTTCAGGAGAATCCACCAACATTCTACCTTCTGTTTCTCACTAAAGCCATAGTCAAGTATGCACCTGTTTCTATTCCAGACATTACATTCTGTTCATGTATTTGTCTCATATACCTCCTAAGACTGGAAAATCCTATTCCTATTTGCTTTATAATTTCCTTCGGATACCCTGCACAACTGATCATTCGATACCAAATAAAGCCAGACCGCTGACTAGTCCCCTGACATTCCTGGAAACATAGTAGCTTTGTAGTACCTGAGCAAAGACTGAAGGAAGTTGATCTTCTTTTAGTAGGTCTAGTCAGATCAGAAGTTAATCTTATCTACGTCACTCAACAGTAGTCCGAGTAAAATCAGAGTGAGCTTCCAAAACATTCCCCTTAAAAGCCATTACGTTGGGAAAACACTGAGAGAAAAGGAAGCTACTTCACTGGTAATTGAAGCCACAATAATAACAGTCCCTGGCTATTCTGCTGATATATTTCCACCCTAAATGCTGTCACTCTTCAGTTTACCAATCCCACCTACTTTTACAGTCAAACAAAGAGGAGCTGAAATTAGTAGATATCACCTAGAACAGATCAAATACTATTTTTTTTTAAGTAAAAAAGACTTCTATTTTGCTGAAAGAAGGAAAAGCCTATTCACAAACAATTATTAAGTTCCTCTTACCTGTTTAGTTCTGTGCTGAGACTCTGTGGACAAATTATTATATGTATAATGTGCTTGTGTGATTCCACAAAACAATACTGCAACCACACCTATAAAGACAATAAATTCCAAGTTCACATAAAAGGATGGTTCCCATCTTTTCTACTTAGGTTCCCTCTTCACAGTAGATTATATACTTTGTCTTGAAATTCTCATTCGTGACTTACTTTGTTAAGAGGAACCACTTCCACTGAAAATTTTTTTTATGTTCTAAAGTGACAGCCTAATCCCAACCACAACAAGTATGTTCAAATACTAATGGAGCTGATTCACTTGGAGCAAAATTGACTGGCAAAGTCACTCCTTGTAAGGGCTGACAATCAAAAGGAGCAAGTCACCCACCTGTGAAGCCCCATGCTTCAGCCAAGAGGAAGGTACTCCAGGACATCAAGAAGAACAGGCCTGTCTCCAACAACTGGAACTCCCGTAATTTGGTGAACTTTGTCACGTAAGACTGTTAAGGTTGGTAATGAGATCTTGTAACACAAAAGTGTGACTAGAAAAAATAACAGTTTAAGCAAGGCAATCATGCAAGAAGGTTCTCTAGCTTCTCTAACACAAAAGTCCCAGAATAAGGAAGAACCACCTGAGTGGGAAACTCTTAAAATGAACATCTTATTGAGGATTCAGCTGCCTTCCCTTCAGTGAGGAAGTCTTATGGCTGAGCCACTCCAGCTGTTTCATGGGTATTGCATACCTTGCCAGAAATCATGCAGTGAAGGACAGGTAGAGTCAGGAGTAACAGATCAGACCTACAACATGCCACCTCTATCAATCTGAGACCCAAAGCTAGACAGCTTCCATGGCAATTTACATTTATAAAAACACATAATTTCCAAGAGATTTCACACTAATTTGATCCTCTACCACCTCTGTGATATAGAGCATTCATTCCATGGTGAAGAAATTGAGGCACTTCACTCACTCATACTAGTTTAACAAGCGTCTGTTAGCTGACAGTGAAATGGCCGTGCCAAATCGCGACCAATCTCAGGCGAGAACCTAGAGTCATTTCCACAACTAGGCACTACAACAAAATGATTAACAAGATATACTCTCTACCCTCAAGGAACCAGTAATGGGGAAGAGATACCATCTGTCTTGGCATCACCTTCAAAACTTTTTACTGCTGCTTTATGCCTCAGTTCACCTATAAAAAGCCATAAAAGAAGCCTCTTCCAGCACAAGGTTGAAGTATAACAAATTAAAAGGTACTTACCAAAGAAGAATGTCTCCACTTTGTACAAGTATCACAGAAGTTTTAAAGTTGGAAACTCTTTAGACATCATCTAGTTCCACTCCTCTTTCCTGCCGTCCCCACCCTCCACTTTCCTTCACTGAGAGCCAAAGAGGTGAAGTGTCAAAGCTTCTATCATGTTTGTGTTTGCCACTATCCCGAAAGCTCCAGAGAGGTAGTGGTCATGTTTGTCTTCTTTAGTTTTGATATACAGAGTGCAGCACATGTAGTAGGTGATCAAGACATGTCTTCTGACTTTTTGTTTTGGGTTGGGGGTTTAAAATTTGTTTTTACACCAGGCATGGTGGCTCATGCCTGTAATTCCAGCATTTTGGGAGGCTGAGGTGGGTGGATCACCTGAGGTCAGGAGTTCGAGGCAAGCCTGGCCAACATGGTGAAACGCCGTCTCTTCCAAAAATACAAAAATTTTGCTGGGCATGGTGGTGAGCACCTGTAATCTCAGCTACGTGGGAGGCTGAGGCAGGAGAATCGCTTGAACCCATGAGGCGGAGGTTGCAGCGAGCCAAGATCACACCATTGCACTCCAGCATGGGTGAAAGAGTGAGACTCCATCTCAAAATAAATAAATAAAAATAAAATAAAATAAATTAAAATTTGTTTTTATAGATTCAGAAGCACAAGTGCAGATTTACTACATGGATGTACTGAATAGTGGTGAAGTCCAGGATAAAATGGCCTTTTTGCATGAACACAAGAATAACTTGCCCAGTATTTCAGTAGCTAAGTAGTGGTAGTACCAAGACTACAACTCAGGTCCTTTGGGCTCCCTGTTCGGGGCTCTAGAGTACAAAGTTTAAAATCGGGAGAGCTGAGATGAACTCTTACATATCCTAACCAGGGAACCACATTTTGTTCATTTGGCATCGCTGCTGTACATTTCCTATTTGTCCCATTAAGCAAAGAGCAAAAGACTGCCAGGCTGACCAGCAGCACAGAACACCCAGAGGCTCTTTGGAATATGTCTACCTTTACAGCTATTTAATCTACAATTATAAAATTCACCCTCAAAGAGATACCATCTCTAATTATATTCTTGCATTGAAAGTTTTAGGGCACCAAAACCCATGCGGAACAATACAGTTCTTTTATTTATTTATTGGCAAAGACTACTGCTTAATGTTTTCAAACCAGGTACTTAAGTTATAAGATGAATAATTCCAACATTATTCTAATCATAGAACTAGGAAAAACCACAGAACACAGCATTCAACTGCTACATTAGGTTAACAAGAAAAGATAAATATAACAAAAGGATATTAAAGCTGTCACCACTCCAGTAGCAGCACCCATTGCAAAAGATCCACTGAAGATCCCAAGGAAGATCCCAATAGACTTGAACATTGCTGTGACATCAAAGGTGTGACTGTTGTCTCCAGCTGGCTGGTATGCCACTATTGAGCTACAGAAGAGAGATTGCTTTTACTTCTGAAAGCAACTTTTACTTAAAAAAAAAATAATAAAAACAACATTATGTAGTGTAGAGCTCGAAAGATGAAATTAGAGGGAGAAGAAAAAAAACTTTTAATTAGAATTGCCAAAATAAGGACAAAGTTACCCAAAAATCCTGCAATGTATCTGGCTAGCAAGAAAACTAGAAAACTTGGCTTTTCCTTAAATGTTAATTTCAGGGGGTGAGAACATTGTAAAATCCCGTATATGAAAGTTGCACCAAGCTTTTTCCTCCACCCTCAAGATATTGTGGAGTATTATTCTTTTGTGATTCTGTTTCAGAATGACTAGTACTGAGTGTCCGAAAGCCTTAACATACTAATGTGAACCAACTAATGAAAAATCCCACTTGTTTCCAGTAGAGGCATAAGAACATAAAGAACATTATTCAATACTCGAACCAGTCACATTTTGTTTTTCCTATGAGAAAAAAGGTAACTGAAGGACCCTTCCAACTTCTAGAATACCAGAATGGGCTAAATGCCTAATATCTATTCATTCACTGAAATGGACTATTATAGGAAAAAGCACTCAAAAGGCCTCCCAAGGAATTAGAATCTACTCAACAGTACTTTCAGCATAACCAGCTGGATCCTCCACCTCAAGCTTCTGAAAGAAAGTCACTCTCTACCAGGCCAAGACAGGCAATTACAGGAGATGCTTCCATCTTGAACTCACGGTCCAAACCTGGTCTGAAAAAGTTTCTTTTATAACAGTTACCCCAGAAAATAGAAATGCCTGAGAAAATTGCTGTTGCCAGCAGGTCTCTGGCAACAGTGCTTACCGTTACTAAATCAGTTCTCATCTCAGTTAATTGAGAGACCAGCATTATAAAAAGTCCAGACTCAACAACATCATACAAATCACATCAAAGAAAAGAAGGAAAAACACATTCCTAAGAATATAATGAATTCTCCCTGTGGTTGCTGCAATGTTTTTTTTCTGATTCAAGGTTGGAAAATGTGTTTGCTATACCATGTACAAGTTCTTTTCAGATCTCCCAGGTTAAAAAAAATCTAAAATCAAACTAAAATCTCCTAATTTGTACTTATTTTATTGAAATATAGCACTAACAGTTATTTCTGATAATGGCATCCAGAAATTTCGGAGACACACTCTAAATTGAAAATGTTAAACATTTATGTTTAAATGTGCAAAGTAACCAGATCATTTTGGAACAGTAGCTTTAATATCATTTTGATGAATATGAAATGGCCTTTAACATCAAGCTACCTTACCTACACATAAAGGGTCCCACCACCATAAATGAGATCTGCTTCCATTATGAAAATACAGTAACTGGCTGGAGAAAAGAAAAAAAAACGCTATACAACCTTCCTTTTCTTCGGTGGTATTTTTCAAAATGCTGTCTGGAACAAAATATCTATGCCATGCCTCCTGAGGTTGCTTTCCCTGGATTTGTTCATGTAAATGCAAGATTCACAGTAATTATTATTTCATTCTTTAGTCATTAAAATGTATAAGAACACATGGGAAACACGATGGGCTGAGAAGAGATGACAGGCTTGTTTTTTTCTTTTTTAGGCAGACACTGGCCTCTAGATCGAAATCTTAATTCATCTTTTCCATATCAATCAATATTTTATCTTGAGGCAGTAACATTTTTTTTATGAATACTTTTTTTTTAAACCGTGAAAGTAATATAATGTACAGTTTAGGTGGAAAAATCATTCCATCACTCTACTATCCTGACAGATTTTATTTTCCTTCTGTATTCCTTTCCCCTCTTTGTGTTACATGCATGCTAATTCTTAATTAGCTGTAATCACAGTGAACATGTGGTTTTGAATTCTGCTTTTTTAACTGTCAATGACATAAAAATATTCATAGCCTTGGCTGGGTGCAGCGGCTCACAACTGTAATCCCAGGACCTTGGGAAGCTGAGGGAGGTGGATCACTTGAGGTCAGGAGGTCAAGACCAACCTGACCAACATGATGAAACGCTGCCTCTACTAAAAATACAAAATTAGTGAGGTGCAGTGGTACATGCCTGTAAGCCCAGCTACTTGGGAGGCTGAGGCAGGAGAACCACTTGAACCCGGGAGGTGGAAGTTGCACAGTGAGCTGAAATCGCACCATTGCACTCCCTCCTGGACAACAAGAGCTAAACTGCATCTCAAAAAAAGTTTTTTTTCATAATCTTCATAAGACTTCACAATGGTTCAAATGGATATAGCACAATTTAGTCAACCATTTCCTCATTGTTAGTTATTTAAAAATTGCTTCTACTATTTTTGCTACTACAAATAACTGAAAGAACATCTTCATGCTTTTTTCATATTTTAGACTATTCCTTGCCCTATATTTCTAAAAATAGACCTATTACCATACCTATGGCTCATTTTACATGTTGCACAATTGCCTTACAAAAGGTCTCAATTACATTTTAGAGGGAGATATGATAATATCTCCCAATTTTTTTTAATGATCATACCCACTGACCTAGCAATTCTACTCCTAAAATATATCCTACAGAAACACTATCAAGGATTCACAGAGATTTATACATAAATATGCTCATTGCCATGTTAGTCACAATAACACAATATTAGAAAACACCAAATATTAATCAGTCAATAGGGGATTGGAGAGGTAAATTTGAAATGCATCCATGCAATGTGATAATAGAGGTATTAATATAGTATAATATCCAAGTGAAAAAGCTAGTTACAGAAAAGTATGTATACTACTATGCCTTTTTTTGTTTAAATAATATGAATACTTATATGTATATTACTAACTTAATGGAAAAAGTCTGGATGAAAATCCTAATAGTGGTTATTTCTGAGCTGAAATTTCAGGAATTTTCTACTTTCTGAGTCAAATGCTTTGAATTTTTGCCAGAAACATATGTTAATATTATCATAAAGAATGATAAAAGGTGATACCAATTTCGACATTAACAACAAGGTATGAGTGGTCTAGTTTTACTACACCAGGGTTTCTCAAGCCCAGCATTATTGACATTTGTGGTCAGATATTTATTTGTTGGCTATGACAGGGGTGGGGTGAGGGGAATGCTGTCCTATACATTGAAAGCTTCTACCCTTCTATCCACTAGGCCATGTCAGTAGGAACCTGTTCACATTGATGATAACCAAAATGCCACCAGACACTGTCAAATATCCCCTGTGTGTGTGTGCGGGTTGGGGGGTGGGGGGCGGAAGGGCGACAAATTGCCCCTGGCTAAGAATGACTATGCTACATAATTACCAGTCGTAACTATTATCATTAACAATTATGGCTGGGCAGGTGTCTCACACCTGTAATCCCAGCACTTTCAGAGGTCGAGGCAGGCTGATCACCTGAAGTCAGGAGTTCAAGACCAGCCTGGCCAACATGGTGAAACCCCGTCTCTACTAAAAATACAAAAATTCGCCAGATGTGGTGGCATGCACCTGTAATCTGTAATCGCAGCTACTCGGGAAGCTGAAGCAGGAGAATCACTTGAACCTGGGAGGCAGAAGTTGCAATGAGCCAAGATTGCGCCACTGTACTCCAGCCTGGGTGAGAAGAGCAAAACTCCATCTCACCAGAAAAAAAAAAAAAAAAAAAAAAAAAAAGTTCTTTCTTGTTAATTGAATAGGTAGAAATGGCCACTGATCCTGGTATGTATCTCTGGTAATTAGTGAAGTTAAACAGTTTGTCATCTCTCTGTATATCCTCTTTTATAAAAATATAAATGACGGTAAACCACATATTTTAAAACGGTGTGAATTTAGGTCTTCAGGATAACATGGTAATCCATTCAGTGGAACACTATGGAACTTACACTTTATCCCTAACTACATATACTGTATCTATCATATTATATCAATATACATATAGATCTACCTCATGCAGCCATGTATGAGGGAATCAATTTCATTTTACCCTCACTGGATTGCAAGTATTATTTTTTTAAAAAAATAACTGCTACTCCAATAGGTTAATAAAAAAAAAAAAAAAAAAAAAAAAAAGTCCAGGCATGGTGGCTCATGCCTGTAATCCCAGCACTTTGGGAGGGCGAGGCAGGTGGATCACAAGGTCAGAAGTTCAAGACCAGCCTGGCCAAGATGGTGAAACCCCATCTCTAATAAAAATATAAGAATTAGCCGGACATGGTGGCAGGTGCCTATAATCCCAGCTACTCGGGAGGCTGAGATGGAGAATTGCTTGAATCCAGGAGGTGGAGTTTGCAGTGAGCCGAGATCATGCCACTGCACTCCAGCCTAGGCGACAGAGTGAGACTCCGTCTCAAAAAAACAAAACAAAACAAAACAAAACAAAACAAAACAGTGCTTCAGGAAGAATAGCTAATGGATGCTGGGTTTAATACCTACGTGATGGGTTGATCTGTGCAGTAAACCAGTATGGCACATATAACAAACCTGCACATCCTGCACATGTACCCCTGAACTTAAAAGTTGGAAATCCCAAAACACAAAAAACAGAAACAAAAACAACCTCCAACATAAATTTCAGGATGAGTTGCCTTAATCTGTTAATTCCCAAACAGAACTCCTTCAGAAAGGGGTTTTCTCCCCTTTGATCCAAAGCTGCTTATACAAAATACACATAGTAGATAATCGTCAAACTAAGAAAATTCAACACAAAGTAGACTATCCATATCTAACTCACTTTAAAACACATAAAAGGTAAATGAAGAACAATGAGCAACATACCACTAAGCATTCCAGCTAGTAAACTCCCACGGCAAGCAACACAACTGCTTTCCCTTCAGCTTTCAGGCAGTAACTCATTTTTCCAACTCTATTAAGACACAGAGCTAACAATTTCCCTCTTATGCTCCTCTCTAGATTCAGTCCTTCTCCACCAGAGTCCCAATGAGGTTGTAATGAGTTAACTTATTATCCCGTACCAATCTAAAATGGCACTGGCTCTCTCTCATCCTTAGGTAAAATGAAAAAAGACTCACTCAAATTTCCTATAAGGCTTCATTCTCTCACAGAAAACCCTGTTTGAGAAGGGCTGTAAGAGAAGGACAAGCATGGCCCTTTGTGAGAAGTGCTATGGAAAGGGCTTTTTTTTTTTTTTTTTTTGAGAGTCTCTCTCTTTCTGTTGCTTGGCTGGAGTGCAGTGGCACGATCTCTGCTCACCGCAACCTCTGCCTCCTGGGCTGAAAA